TCACAGCTCCCAGCGGCTCGACAGCCGCTGGAAAGACGCTCTCGCCATTGCCCTGGCGTCCTCGTCAGGAACGGTCACCAGCGAGTCCTGACTCGCTGGCGCGAGGTCGCCCTCGACCTCCGCAAGCTGGAATTGGACGACTTGGAGCCTGGACTCGACGACGTCGAGCTGGTTGTTCTCGAGCTGGCTGCCCTCGACCTGCATCTCCTCGGGGTAGCTGCTGTCGAGCTCTTTGGCGGGCGGCTTGTCCTTGAGCTTGCTGTGCCCGGCCTTGTCCTCGGGCTCGCTGTCCTTGGCGGGGACTTGGGCCTGGGTGTCCTCGACAAGGACGTGGGCCTGGGTGTCCTCGGCCTTGCCCTCGGGCTCGCTGTCCTTGACTTCGCTCTCCTTGGGCTCGCTGCTCTGGTCCTGGAGCTGCGTGTCCTAGAGCTCGGTGTCCTCGGGCTGTTCCTCGACGAGCTGGCTGTTCGCGACGGCCTGGCTGTCCTCGACGGGCACTTGGGCCCAGGCGTCCTCGTCGTCCAGGGGCTGGTTGTCCAGGGGCTCGGCGTGGACCTGGGCCTGGGTGTCCTCGCGTTCGCTCTAGTCTTTCGCTCCTTCTCGATCTTGATCTTGGGCGGAGACGCCTCGCCACGACCGCTGGCTTGGCCATCTGAGCCTTGCTGGAGACCCCGCTTGACCAGGGTGCTCGGAAGTTGGTTAGTCACTTGAGCCTAAATGATTACGCTGTTGAGCTTCTACTGCCGAAAAGCAAGTATTGTTGATCCCCCCTCCAGTGACCATTGTGCTTTGTGCATTGAAGTGCGTCCCCCGGGACTCGCACCCTGTTGTGTTTATCAAGGAAAGTCACGGGGCTCAAATTTGGCCCTGGGCCCCGGTTTACAACAACAGCGGTTCCCCGCTTGATACTTCCTCACAATGTATTTCCGAATCGCGCTCTCGCGCGGGAATTCCAATTCATGTACGCATCGCGCTTTCGCGTGGGACTTCTCGTAATTACATGATTCAGACAATGCGTCCTCGGCGCTCAGAAATCACGCTCTCGCTTTGGCTTCTCTTTCGGTGTACTTGGGAATCGCGCTATCGCTTGAGACTTTCTCGCGATTCATGCAGGACCCACGCTTCAGCAACACGCATGCTCGACCTGGGCGCCTGGGCCCGCCTTCCCGACCTGCCAGCTATGGCGCTATGGGTCTGCCCACCCGATCAGCCCGTCTGGTTATACCACTTGTTTTCTGCTCCTTGCCCCCCTCCTGCTAAGTTCTCGCGTGCTCCATTCTTCTCCCTCCCCATTCCACCCGTCCTTCCCTCCCTGGTTTTAGGGTCTGCCCTAGATGCGCGTGGCAGGTAAGGAAGATAGATCCCCAAAGGGGTACGATCGAAGACGACGAGGGCGGGTACCGAGGGCTTGGGATAACCTTATACAGCCGATAATAAACACCCTGGGAGAATAAAGTTCGGCGGTTACGGTGCGATAGTAAAAGTATCCACCAGAGGCCAGCATAAAGATGTCAACCGAGGAGCCAAAGCCGAGGATATCTTGAGACATCCTTGGTTTTTTGTCCTCTCTGAGACATCCTCAACAATGGCTTGTCTCGCTTGAGACATCCTCGACCAATCTCTCGTTTCGCTTGAGACATCCTCGAAATATGTGTTTGCTTCGCTTGAGAGTTCTTTTTTACTGCTCGTTTCGCTTGAGACGTCTTCACAGAATGTGTTTGTTTCGTTTGGACGGTTCTCGACGAGCGTGCTCGTTTCGCTTGAAACCTCCTTCAACCTTTGCTAATCTCGCTGGAAACATCCTCCAGGACACGCTCGTGTCGCTTGAAAATCTTGAAATCCGAAGGCGCTCGATCGAAACATCGCTTGAATTTGTTTTCTCGGCGCCAGCGCTTTGTCGAAAAACCTACGAAGGCGAGGCCGCACCCTCGAGCGCCCACTTGCGCTGGAGCCGCTCGGAGAGCGCCTCTACAACAGGCTCGGGCTCAAGCTTCGGGCGCTTGCCGCTGTCGTCCTCGGGCTCGTCGTCCTCGGGCTCCTCGTCCTCTGGCTGCGGTGCGGACTTGCGGCGCTTGGCTTTCTGGTAGGCTCGCTTCTCCTTGTTCTCACTGCTGCTCGGGATCTCCTCCAGCTCCTTGGTGCGCTTCTGGCTCTTGACGTCATCGAGCGGTTTCTCGTTCCCGCTCCCCTTGGAGTCCTGGAGCGGTTTCTCCTCCTTCTTGGAGTCCTCGCGCTTCTCGCTCTCCATGGGTGCCTCGAGCGGTAGCTGCGTGCTTATCTCGGGCATATCATCCATGTCGGAGAAGCTCGGCAAAGACATCCTCGATATCCGGAGCCTTGGCGCTCTGTCGCGTCGGCTTGGGCCTTGGTTTGTGAAACTCTTGGGAAGCTCGGAATCTTGAGCCACCAAATTACTACGGAGATCAGTCTTGCTTGTTTCGCTTGAGACGTCCTCAAAGAAATAATTCCTTGCCTCACATGAGGCATCCTCGACCAATCTCTCGTTTCGCTTGGGACACCCTCGAAATAAATGTTTGTTTCGCCTGAGACATCCTCAACGGATTGCTGTTTTCACTTGAGACATCCTCGAAATGATTGTCTGTTTCGCTTGAGACATCCTCGAAATAATTGTTGGTTTCGCCTGAGACATCGTCGAAGAATTGCTTATTTCGCTTCAGACAGCCTTCAAACAATGGTTTGTCTCGCTTGAGGTATCCTCGAACAATTGCTTATTTCGCCTGAGACATCATCGGAATCGCATTGTTTTTTTGCTAGGGTCTCGCGCAGAAGCTCGGAACTGCTGAGATTGCTCGCAATCAGATGTTCATAACCTTGCTGTCGAACTCCTCGGCGGCCCTCGCAAGGAAGCCTTTCTTGCGCACCGCCTCGAAGTGCTCGCTCATGCACGCCCTGCATCCTTTCGACCCGCCCTTGAGCATCTCGCACTCCTTGCAATCCTTGGCCGCGCGCAGGGCTGCCTCGAGGCTGGCGTGCTTGGGCTCGGCCTCCAGCGGATCCGTGCCCTTGCTCTTGGCCTTGCCCTTGGGCTTGGCCTTGCCCTTTGCCTTGGCCTTGGCGGCAGCGTTGCCGCTCGCATCTAGCAGCTTCTGGATCCACTCGTTGCCTCGCGAGTAGATGTCCTGGACGCTGCTCGGCGGCCGCCGGCCCTCGCCGCGGATCTCGCGCAGGGCGCGCTCGAACCACCTCGTCACCCACAGGCCGCAGGACCACCCGTCAAGTTGGAACCTCGTGTTGCTCTGAGCGGGGCACTCGACCTCAGGACCGAGGAGCTCGTGGAGGATCCTCGTGGCCGCCTGCTTGGCGGACTCGGATGGTACCTTGAGGGCATCTCGGTACTCGATGGCCACGTTGGCGCCCCCCCTGGTCACCTTGAGGTAGGGGTAGTGCGCTGGGTTCTCGCTGTGGACGCAAATGAGGAGGTGCTCGGCGTTCTCGACGTTCTCGAGCCAGGCCTTCTGCTGCTCCTGGGCCTGGGTTGTGGGTTCGTCGTCGCCTTGGTCTTCTCGAGCCCAGGTGACAGCGATTGTCGGCTCGATCAGCAGGGCGCCCTCGGGGACGCCCACTCGCTCCTCGATCTCGCCTATCAGGGCTCGCACTGCGCCGAGCTCGAGGGTGCGGTTCTTCTCGACGAAGTCGCAATTCGCGATTGCCAGGGGCTTGGCAAGCTCGGTGCGCTTGAACATCCTCCACGCTCGCCAATCTATCTTCATGGGCTTGGCGGGCGCCCACTCCTGCTCGACCACGACCTCCCAGGCTCGAGGGCCGATGGATAACTAGGGGCGAGCTCCCGCTCGGCTTCCGCTGCCCTTCCGTTCGGCTTCCGCGCGAGCCCCCGCTCGATTTCCGCGCCAACTTCGGCTCGGCTTCCGCTGGCCCTTATGCCTGGCTACTGCCCCATTGGCCCTCGACCCTGGCTGGGGCGGATCTGGAAAATCGCCGCCGTCTCGACCTCGAGCACGCGGAACTGGCACTCGCCCTCGCAGTCCTTGACGCGCCAGACGTCTTGAATTCTGCCGTGCCTGCCCTCGTGCAGGCACTCCTCGTCGACCCGCGCGGTCTTGCCGTGCCAGGGCGAGTTCTTGCAAGGCTCGAGGCCCTCGTTCTGCTTCTTGTTGTCTCCCCGCTTCTTCTCTCGTTTCTGGTGCGGCTTCTGCTTGAACTTCTCAGCGAAGGACGTTTTCGGCTTGGGGCCTTGCCCCCTCAGCTTCGCCTTGGCGACGCCTCGGCTCTTGCTCTCGAGGGCGTCTCGGCCATCCTGCTCGCGCTTCGCCCTGTTCCACTTGGCCGCCAGCTTGCCCGCGAACTGGCCTCGGAACTTGCTCCCCAACTCGTTCTTGCGCTTGCTTGTGTTGCGAAGCTTGACTCGGCCTTGTAGGGCGTGCGGGAACTGGATATGCTTGATGCGCTCCTCGGGCGGCTTGATCATGTCTCGCTGCTCGTCTGTGAGCTCGAGGTGTAGCTCGGCAAGCTCGAGGAGGCAGGGGTTCTCGTCGTCCTCGTAGCTCCTCGGCAAGTCCTCGAGCATGAAGCACTGGCCGTCTAGAACGCTCAAGTCCGGCACGGGGGGGGGGGGGGCGCCCTCGGGCCAGCTCGCGGCGGCCGCGAGCCTTTCCCTGGCCAGTCTCGGCTCGATGCCTCGGCCAGCCTCGGTGGAGTAGCTCCAGGGTTCCTCGCCTGTGACGATCTTGAGCTCGTTCTGCTCGGTCGGCCTCGCCGCGCCCCCCCCCCTCCTCCTCGCCCCCCCCCCCCCCCCCCGACCCCTCCTCTTCAGGGGGCCACGGGGAGGAGGAGATACATAGTTATAGAAAAGAGAGAGATAGAGAGAGAGAGAGAGAGAGAGAGAGAGAGAGAGAGAGAGTTATAGAAAGAGAGAGAGAGAGAGAGAGAGAGAGAGAGAGAGAGAGGGAGAGAGAGAGAGAGAGAGAGAGAGAGAGAGAGAGAGAGAGAGGGAGAGAGAGAGAGAGAGAGAGATAGAGAGAGAGAGAGACAAAAAAAAATAAAAAAAAGGAGAGAGAGAGAGAGAGAGAGAGAGAGAGAGAGAGAGAGAGAGAGAGAGAGAGAGAGAGAGAGAGGGAGAGAGATAGAAAGAAAGAAAGAAAGAACGAGAAATAGAAACAGAGAGAGATAGAGAGAGATTGAGGGAGACAGAGAGAAAGAGAGGTTGAGAGATAAAGATAGAGAGGCGGAGAGATAGAGACAGAGAGGAGAGGAGTAGGAGGAGGTGGGCGAAGGAAGAATCCAAACTTCAAACCTATCGCATTTTATTTGCAAGCGCTTCATGAAAATTTTTCATCCGCTTAGGCAATCTGCCTCGTTTTCTCAGGATCATCAACTACAGCGATGAACAAGTCCAGGGGGGGGGGGGGGGGGGGGGGGGGGGCGCGGAGAGAAGGAGAAAGGTTGAGAGATAAGAAGATAGAGAAAGAGAAAGAGAAAGAGAAAGAGAAAGAGAAAGAGAAAGAGAAAGAGAAATAGAGAGAGAGAGAGAGAGAGAGAGAGAGAGAGAGAGAGAAAAAGAGAGAGAAAGAGAGAGACAGAGA